AAGATGGACCTGGCTGGGAAGAGTATCTAAAAGCTTGCTAAAGTGACACGAAACCTCCTCATTGGAGGCTCGCGACTTTGGAGATAGTTCCTTCGCTAAGACTTCATCAGAAGTGCTTCTTATCAATGAAGTTTGCTGTTCAGTGCAGGAAATGGGTGACTGCATAGGCACATCGGAGTTTGCAACCTGCAACAGTTGTGGGAAAGTGGCCAAAGATGAATCTGCTCGTTCATGGGGGATCGGTGAATGGTGGAGTTGTTGATCTACTAGGTCCCAGATGGCAGTTTTAAGTCGGCGTACATTTATCATCTTGGCTGTACGTGCATAGTTTATTTCAATACGGGCAACTTTTGGAGGATGCTCCACTAATTCAAGATCATCTCCAGCGACACTGGAGACTCCATCAAGTACCACTCCTGTTACAGGGTCGCGATAAGGAGCTTGGCCGACAGTCTCAAGTGCGCCGTCAGTGGTAGCCTGGTGAAGATGGGAGAAATTGCAGAAACTCAGGAAAATGAAAAGTGAAATGGAGACAGCCGAATAGCGTTTGATTGAGAAATATAAGTATGGCGATAAGATATTAGTACTGAAAACTTGACATAGAAATAAGGTCTGGCTATAAAGTAAATGCGATCGATCGGGCATAGAACATAGATAGCCAATATAGTCCGAACCGAATGGCTTGAAGTGGTGGAGGGACCGAAGGTTGTGGCGTTTATAACAAGATTAGTGGAAAATTTTATAATGCCAAAGTATTTCACCAGGCTTTCTCCACTAAAAGGCATGCTCATTCAGACTGGACTACAGTTTCGATCTGTTATAGCGAGACCTAAGCTAGATGTAATAGTATAATTTAGTAACAGTGTTAAATAGTAAAGTTAACTTTTAGCATCTTGTTATTATGTTTTCCCTAGAAAAAAGAATGGTTTAAAACTGTGGTATATGAAGCAATTTTTAGCACAAATAACACTTCGGCACCGTATCAAACATATACTCTAGACTACCTTGTAAAAGCTCTAAGGAAATGGAATTGTCATGGGTGATTGAAAGTTTGTAGGACATAAGTTGCAAACAAGGGATAATCAGAGAAGTCCCGGAGAATACAAGCATTAATGTAAGCCATTTATTTCGAACGTTATTTTGAGCTTCTGGACCCATATAAGTCGAAACCCGCTGTCCTGGTTGGCTGTAGAAAGAGGATGAAGCTTTGTCATAGCAAAGTCGAAAGTTTATATATTAGGCAAATAAGCAGTCTAGAACAATTCCGACGTCATCCAGTCATAGTCATGAGGTTAGTTAAAAACAATCTCAGGCTCGCAAGACATTTCATGAAAAATGCGTCGGTAGATTAGAGTTACTAGTTGGCCCGCGTTTCGCAGGAAACTGTTAAATATGGTTGCTGAGACTTCCTGCAATTTGAGAATATGTACTTTTTATGAAATAACACGCGAAAGTATTCTGAAGAGAGTTGATATGACCTATGTAAGCACAGGCTGGGTAAAAAATGCTGGTGTTGGGCCATGTTACTTAATGTGGTATATAGTTTAAATAAATTGTAGCGCGAAGTTGGCGGTTGAATCGAGGGATTAAAAATGGTCTTAGGATCTCAATAAATATAACAAAGAGAAAATTAAATTATTAGTCCTTCATCGCAACTAACCCGGTGTGGAAGCAGCTCTATAGCATCATATTTATAGGACAGGCGTAGGATGAATAACTGAGAACTGATAATGAATAAAGTTGTGGCTCATTGTTTTACCGGATTGTCTACATGCAAAAGCCCGTAAAGCAATGTCAACGCAATACTTTGCTCCAATACAACAATGTTTTCTACTCATATGTAGGAAGTAAAAGATTTGCACCCTTTAAATCAAGGCATTTGTAATTAAAAAACAACTGAAACTAATCCATATTGAAATAAATAATACTGAAAAGAACATCATAGAAAGATTTTATCCTATCGAAATTGAACTTTCAGTTCATTTTATTTAATGACAAAACGTCTGACTCCAAAATATATTGCATATATTTTAAGTGAAAAATAGAAACAATAAAATTGATTAACGAATAAAAGATTTAGATGCTGATTTAATAGCTGAATTAAGCTAGGATGGGAATTCTACTTGCTTTAAGCCTTATGCGAAGTGAAGATCGGATTTTAATTTACTCGACATAATATGGAATGTAATTCTGCATACCAAAAGGCCCTAGAGTAAGGACTGTTTGCAATATTATTTTTAGTCTGCGGGGCTATTCCGATTGATGACTATCATGTTCATCTCAATTGTCCCAATGACATAAATTCACTAATAAATGTTAAGCATGAATGGTAAATCATAAAAATATAATCAAGTTCTAACAGCATAATAAATTATATTCGATACAACAATATGTTCTGCTTATTATTATTATTCTGCCTACCTAGGCGTAATTAATTGGAGAAATCATGAGAAATATACATAAAGGAAAAAAACCATTAATTGCGGAGAAAAATCATAGCATTTTACTTCCACTCTATGACCGATTGGCACTTGTTGAAATGTGGCAACATGTCAAAATTATACGCTCCACTATCCGGATTTGTCTTCTGCTGAGAGTGATGATACACTGGCGATATCAAAGCCTTGTTCTAACCTGAATAAGAATAGCATT